ATACATAGAAATAAAATTGGAAGGCCTGGGGAGATGGCCTAGTGGAATAAGCGTTTCCCTGGCAAGCACAAGCGCCTGAGTTCAATCCCCGGTTCCGCCAAAAAAAAAAAAAAGAAATAAAATTGGAAAAGATGATCTGAATGTGAAGAGGATAACGTACAGATTCAGATTTGATGAAGAATTATGCTAGGAATTTTAAAAATTATATGTTTAATGGAACTATATATATTATGCCAGTGAAACAGTTAAAGATCTATGAGAATTTCTTCTGAAAAACAAAGCAAAGTATTATATTTCTTAAATCTCCAATAAAGAAGTACAGGAAAAAGAGCAAGAACCTTTCCCACTATTTGGAACATGCTAATCACTCCAATCTGAAACTCAAGAGACCTGTAAACACTCTAAATTTATAAGAAGTGTCAAGAACTGCATTTGCTTTAAACTAACTTTGGCGGAATCTTTAAACTAAGATTTGGTAAGGCTGGGAGTACCAAGCAAGTGTAAAATGTAATTCATCACTTTTTTTTTTTTTTTTTTAATGAATTTAGGACAGGGTCTACAGAGTGTACAGGGTCTCATCACATACAGCCGACTCGTAGTGATCCTCCTGCTTTCAGCTTCCCAGGCACTGGGATTACAGGTATGCACTACCACATCCTGCTCCAGGGCTGGCACTGCATGTACTGGGGATACAACTCACGTCCTTGAGCTTGCCAGACAGAGGCTTAGGCCACAGAGCTGTGGCGCCAGCCTACAAAGGTCTTTTGAAGGATTGGGGGAATGCGTCTAAAGATGCCACTTGAGTTCGAAAAAGAAAATATCATGATTAATCCAAAGGAAGTTGAAAATAAAATGTATTAAAAACACACAGGCCGGGTATGGTGGTGGACACCTGTTAATTCCAGCATAGGAGGCTGAGGCAGGAAGACCACTGTGAATTCAAATCTGGCCTGAACTACAGAACAAGACACTGTCTCAAAAAGAAAAAAAGAAATAAAAATGCACAAATCACACACAATCAACCATATATCACTGTTAAGTTTTGGATCTTTTAAACCTGCTCAACACACTTGCCTTGATCTGTATTTGGGGAACTCTATGTTTCACAATACAAAATTAGTAATAAAACACTAAATATCTCATGGACTTTATAAAATATATAGTGCACTGTAACCCACTGGCTGTCCACCCTTGGTGTCCACTTGCTGACAGAGCAGTGACACATGACTGCTGTCCATCACAAACAAGTATTGTACCATATAACTACTAGTGAGACAATTAAAGAAATTACAAAATAAAAGAATTCCCACTAAATAATTTTTCTTTTTTATGTGTATTATCTGAGTTAGACTGGCAATACATCTCAAAATATTTCATATTGATATGGGATCTCGTTGGACGGTCCAGGCTTGATGTCGCAATACTCCAGTCCCAGTCTCCCCAAGTGGCTGGAATTAGAAGTGTGCAGCCTCAGGCCTCACTGATGTTTACTTTACCCAAACACTGGAATCTTGCTAAGTTCCTAGAGAACCCCAGTCTGAAACTGGCAAATTCCACATGGTTGTCATCTCAACAATCAAGGAGGTAGGAACAGTAGCAAAAGTTCTCAGCCTGGGCAACTTAATAAGACTAGGTCTCAAATTTTTTTTTTTTTAAAATGGGTTAGGGGAGGTGCGGCTTGGAGCAGTCCCTGTACAGCAAAAATCATCAAACACACCTTGCAAGCTTTTGTGCCCACGAGGAAGCCCTTCCCACTGTACGTCAATGATGACGCCCACCCTGTTTGAAGCTGCCGATTTCACTGCCCTCCAACAAAGCTTGCTCTCTCGCTTCCTTTGTACTCACTCTCCTGTGTTCCTCCCTACTTAAAAACTGCTTTCATTCCTATTCCTTCCCATGCCTGCATACCTCAGCTATGGGGATTGACGTCTACTTTGATGTTGTTTTATACAAAGTACATTTCAATCAACATTTCCAATTTAAAACAATGTGTAGAAACAGTCTCTGAGCAACAGCTTTTGTTTATTTTATTTCTTTTCCCTTTTTTATTTTGCGGAACTGGGGACTGAATTCAGGACCTTGCGCTTGCCAGGCAAGTGCTTATTCTACTGAGCTATCTCCCCGGCCTCAACAGCGTTCATTTCAGAGATGAGAGCCCCCTTTCCCTTTCCACCACTACCAATATCACACGTCCACATCCGCATCCATGTCCATGTACATACCTTAATTCGATGTTTCTCAATTTGGGTTTAACACCACCCCTTTCAGAAAGTTGTCTTTAGCAGCAAGACCCCTTCCCCTCGCTTAGTAATGCGCTAAATCTGCTTCATTCTTTCCAGCATTCTAAACTCTCTGGAAGGCCTCATTTCAACAGCCTAACTGTAAAGAATACTTATTTAGTTACCTTATGAGTAAGGCACCTGGCTACGGAAAATGGCCTCACATGGAGTTGGGAAATAAGACACATCGGTAAGAATTACTATAAGAACAGTGAACTGCAGGCAGAGAACCAGGAATCAGCTTCCTCAGGAAACATGGAAAGCAGGCTCTCCCTGCTACGGGAGTGATCACTCCCTACGAAGCTTCTGAGTTTCCAGGAATTTGAAGTGTAAATTAAACCGTTTTTCTCTAAAATCCTAGTTTTCTAATTTATTTTTATTTTTTTTATTTTTTTTTGCGGAACTCGGGATTGAACTCAGGCCCTTGCGCTTGCCAGGGAAGTGCTTATACCCCTGAGCCATCTCCCCAGCCCCTAAAATCCTAGTTTTCTATAAAACTTACAAGGTAAATAAAAGAGTTTTAAGAGCCGGAGTTCCAAAGGGTCATATTAAATGCACCTGTCAGAGTGACCTGTCCCAGGGGGCCATTACACAATGAGCCACTGCCGCGCTCTGACTGCTATAATCAGCTCTGGATTGAGCAGCTACACCTGGCCACACGACCACCCACTCAGGATGCTCCCAGGAGCCAAGAAGCTATCCTCATTTCCAATAAAAACTCCTAACAGCCTCTCTTCTGTTCATGACTTCCTTCTTCAGTGTTGGAGAGTACAGCTCTCTTCTTTATCACTGTGAGTAGGGGTCTGACATAAATAAGGAAGGTGCTGATTGGGGGGATGTCGAGTGTGGAACGCAGGATTTCACAGGAAGCTTGGCAAGAGCTCCGCCCGAGTCCCAGCACCTGCAATACTAAACCTCCCTCAGGACTCTCCTAGCCCGTACCAACACACCTCTTATGACTTTGGACAGAGCTCAGGCGGGAAATAACGGAAATTTAGCAATGCACTCAATATAAAAAGGGTAGACTTCTGAAATGAGTTACAGGTATGACAACCCGCATTGCAGACATTTATAAATGTCAGATCCTCCAAGTCTGCCGCTAAAAGGGCTGAGACCAGGGCCCTAGCAAATCACGGCTTACCCAGCTCCAGGCCATAGCTGCATCAGGGTATCCCACCCACCCCTCCCTGCTCCCGGGGGTGGGGGCACCCGAGACGGCACGGTTGGCTGGGCGTGTCACGGTGGGAACCGGATCCCACAACTAATCCTGACCCAGTACAGGGAAAAGCGACAAAAGCACCAAAGCCCAGCAGAAGCTCAGGGTCTGGAGCTAAGCAGCGAGGCTGTAGCTCCCCGGAGCCGGCTCGGGTCCCTCCTTTAGGGCCTTCTCCCCATCCCATTCCAGCCCCGTCTTCCGTCCCACATCACCATGGCGCAGCTTCAGGCTCTCCCAGAGTCGTTCTCGCGCAGCACGCAACTAGCAGAAGTCGCAGAAGGTGGCCCAGCAAGATGGAGGGCTGTCAGCCGTGCGCCCAGGACACCCTCTCTCAGGCCACGGCGCCGGAAGAGCCCGCCCCGCCGGCCCACGCGACTGGACGCGCGCAGCCCGCCCCTGCATCGCTGATTGGCTCCTGCGCACAGGCCCTGCGCACAGCCCGGAGAGGACTGCTGCGGGCTGGACGGAGCTCGGGCGGTGCTCTGCAACCCCGGGCCCTCGGACCACGCTCCTTCCCACAGTGTCCACCTCACCTCGCCTGAAAATGATTGCATTTAAGCAGTGGCGTCATCAGGGGGTGCAGGCAGGAAACACGTGCAAGACTTGCAAAGTAGGAGGGCACAGGTGCCTTTGTTGTGACCACAGCAAAGCTTTCCAAGTGGCGGTGGGTTCTTTCCACGGTGGCATTGACGCAAGCGTTTTGTGTTGGCGTGGCTTCTTCAGAGCCGAGGCCCTCCATGCTTTTGCCAAACAGCTCTTCCCGAGCAGAATCAGGAAGGTAACTCCGAAGCCGGGTGACTCCACCTTTCTGGGTGCGACCCTTAGTCCTTAGTGGGCAAGACCGGGTCGCTCCAGTTTCCCTAGTGGCTAATGCGCATTTTGTTTTTCTTGAGATTCTTTTCAATTTTATAACAGATCTTGTATCTTATATCCTAATTAAAATCATTTATTATTTCTAGAAATCTCTCTTGGCAGATCCTACAGGATTACTTCACAGGATTGGTGATAGGCTCAATTTTCTTTCTTTCTTTTTCTTTTTTCAGTGTGATTTTCTTACTGCACTGGCCAAAATCGCTAATGCAGTGCTGAGTGGTAAGAGCAGATCTTCGTGCTTCCCCCCCCCCCTTCGGGAGGAAACATTCACTCTTCTACCATTAAGTGTAATATAGTTTGGGTGGGGGGGGGTTGTAGATACCCTCCATCAGGTTATAGATGTTTTCCTTTGCTTTATATTTGATGAGGCTTTATCACACACGTTCTCTTATTTTTCCCAATGCTACTTCTGCGTCCCTCAAGGCAATTATCTGTTTCTTCTTTCTATTTGTTGAAATGCCACGTATTTGCGCCATGCATATAGGGCTGATGCTGCAGGTGGTAAAAATAATTTACCGATAATCAAAGAATATAGAAAAAGAAGAACTGAACCTGCAAGAGAGCAGCAGGTGAGTCCCGGAGTGGCCCACTCCCTGACGGTAGACTGCTGAGATCTTTGGATTTAATTTTAACGCGATGAGGGCATCTTTCAGCACCATTTATCTAGGCGTACTTACACGGGGTCAGACCCGGTGGTCCTATTTTCCACCCATTTCAATTTTAAAGAGAGCAGGTATTGTTTAAAAACCAATATAACGTTTTTGTTTGACAGGGTCCTGTGCCCTTGGATACCTGGACGCAGTCTTTTTTTTTTTTTTTTTTTTAAGCACCTGTTTAGGCAGACTCACGGCCAAATAGCGGCCTGCCGTGCTGGCCCCGCCCTCAGGGAGCGCTGGGAGCCTGTAATCCTTGCTCTTGGGAGGCTAAACACAGGCGGAGCACTACAAGTCCGGTCTACATAGTGAGACCCTGTAGACCCTGTCTTTAAAAAACAAAACAAAACCAAAAAAAACACGTGTTAAACATTTAGAACATCTGGGAGCCTATGCATAGATTTTGTTTGTTTGTTTTATAGAGGGTCTTGCTATGCAATTTGGACTCATAGTGATACTCCTGTCTCAGCCTCCCTAGTGCTGGGATTACAGGAGTGGGTCACCATGCCTCGGGTTCCGGGGGCCCACAAGGGCCTCTCTTGTCCTTTTAAAGTATATAAAGGTGTGCTGCGGAGGAATGGCTGTTGATCTGTAGTGGGTGCGCGCCCAGGTTTTCCTGGGGCTCCGGTATTCTGCTGCTGTCCGGTGAAGAGGAAGCCATGGCGCTCCGAGTCACCCGAAACACGAAAATTAACGCTGAGAATAATAAGGCCGCGGTCAGTATGGCAGGCGCAAAGCGTGTGCCCTTGGCCACTGCTGCAGCCTCCAAGCCAGGTCTGAAGCCGAGAACAGCTCTCGGAGACATCGGTAACAAAGTCAGTGAGCAGCTGCAAGCCAGAGTGCCCCTGAAAAAGGAATCAAAAACTTTGGCGACTGGAAAAGTTACTGCTAAAAAACTACAGAAACCTCTGGAGAAAGTGCCTGTGTGTGTGCCAGCGCCTGAGCTTGTTCCTGTTAAGGATGAAAAACTTTCTCCTGAACCCATTTTGGTTGATACTCCCTCTCCAAGCCCCATGGAGACCTCTGGGTGTGCCCCTGCTGAAGAAGATCTGTGTCAGGCTTTCTCTGATGTCATTCTGGCTGTGAGTGATGTGGATGTGGAAGATGGAGCAGATCCAAACCTCTGTAGTGAATACGTGAAAGATATCTATGCTTATCTCAGACAGCTTGAGGAAGAGCAGGCAGTCAGACCAAAATACCTACTGGGTCGAGAAATCACTGGAAGCATGAGAGCCATCCTAATTGACTGGCTAGTACAGGTTCAGATGAAATTCAGGTTACTGCAGGAGACCATGTACATGACTGTGTCCATTACTGACCGGTTCATGAGAATAATTGTGTGCCTAAGAAGATGCTGCAGCTGGTCGGAGTCACTGCCATGTTCATCGCAAGCAAATACGAAGAAATGTACCCTCCAGAAATTGGGGACTTTGCCTACGTGACTAACAACACTTACACTAAGCACCAAATCAGGCAGATGGAAATGAAGATCCTAAGAGTTTTAAACTTCGGGCTGGGTCGCCCGCTCCCCCTGCACTTTCTTCGTAGAGCATCAGAGATTGGAGAGGTCGATGTTGAGCAACATACACTGGCCAAACACCTGATGGAGCTGTCTATGTTGGACTATGATATGGTGCACTTTCCTCCTTCTCAGATTGCAGCAGGAGCTTTTTGCTTAGCACAGAAAATTCTTGATAATGGCGAATGGACACCAACTCTGCAGCACTACCTGTTGTACACTGAAGAGTCTTTTTTTCCTGTAATGCAGCACCTGGCTAAGAATATAGTAGTGGTCAGTCATGGGCTTACAAAGCATATGACTATCAAGAACAAATACGCCACCTCAAAGCATGCTAACATCAGCACTCTAGCACAGCTGAATTGTGCCTTAGTTGAAGATTTGGCCAAGGCTGTGGCAAAGGTGTAACTTGTAAACTTGAATACTCTATCTGCAAATAAAATTGGCACCATGTGCCACTTGTACATATTATATTGCATTAACAGACTTTAATAAGGATTGTGGGCCTTTTTTAAAAAAATGATAAAGTATATAAAATATTTAGTGATTTTGAAACTCCCAACCTAAAAGATACTTGGATGAATTCGTGTTCGCTAAAACCAAAGAATAAATTTTAGGAACAAAATAGGGGTTAACAATAGAATATTTAAAAAAAAAAACCAATAGAATATTTATTGGGAAAGAAAGCTTCTGTCCAAGAGGGGGACAGAAGGGGGACCCTAGTGGGTTACCTGGGAAATTGCCTTTTTCAGAGATTTTATAGAGCAAAACCATGTGATGAGGCAGATCTAAGGTGAAAACTATGGGAACTCGCTTAGGTGGGCATGAGGTGGGACAATACTATGTCAACCAATGAAATTACAAGCACCATTGCTCAGGTAAAATTGGTTAAATCAGAATAGAATGGGGAAACAACCCTGTTGGGGTTGGGCTAATGGCTCTTTTGGTGCTCTTTTAGGGTGATTGATACCTATTTAGAATATCAGTCCCTGATACACATCCCTAGGGACATGAGGCTGCATTTCTTTACTCTTTTGTCACGAGGTCTGGCCCACCACCGGACTGTCTGCCTCTTCCAAAGTTGCAAAGTTACCTTGTCTTCCATATTGTCCTTGAGGGCTGGCCCTGTCTGACTGCCTGTAACATTTCTATCTAATTTAGCTGCCTACAACAATATTTCAACTGTCAGTTTTAAAACATAATTCCCTGTTAGCATGGAAAATACTTTCTTTAATTTGAATTCCCTTTACTTCATTTAATTGTGTTTTGTGGCTCAGATGATGTGTCTGTCTTTGAAATTATTCTAAGTATTCAGTTGGAGAAGAGGAAGGGGATGAGTGAAGGAATTAAAAGAAGGGACCGGGAAGATGGTTCAGTAGAATAAGCGCTTCCCTGGCAAGAGCAAGGGCCTGAGTTCAATCCCTGATTCTGCCGGAAAAAAAAGGAATTAAAAGAGTGTGAAATTAATCAAACTGTGCACTAATAAAAAGAAACTGTTGTTCCATGTGCACTTGAAACCAATAAATATTGTCCTGTTGTAATTGTGGAGTGACTTGTAAAATTTTCTTTTTTCTGCTTGCCTATAATTCCAGAACTTGGGAGGCTAAAGCAAGGAGATTATCTTGAGTTCAAAGCCAGCCTGGGGTATATAGTGAGTTCAATACCAGCCTGAAATACATAATAAGACCCTGCCTCAAAAAAAAAAAATGAAATTTCTTATTATAATTGTGTATTTTTCCATTTTATTTTTATTTTTTAGTGGTCCCAGGGATTGAACTAAGGACCTTGAGCTCACCAGGCAAGCACTTATTCTACTGAGCTATCTCCCCAGCCCACCATTTTGTTTGTATTGAGCTTCTGGTTTTTTTTTTTTTTTTTCTCTTAGCTCTTTTCAGGTCCATAAAAGTTTAGGATGTTATGGAGTCATGAAAAATTGACACTTTTCTCATGAAATGATCTGTATTCCTAGTAAGATAGTCTCTACTCAGAAATCTGCTTTGTGGGGCTGGGAGACAGCTCAGTAGAATAAGTGCTTGCCTGGCAAGCGCAACTGCCTGAGTTCAATCCCTGGTTCCACCGAAATCCGCTTTGTGTTTTACTAAAAGCACTACTCGGGGGCGGGGGAGATGGCTCTGTGGAATAAGCGCTTCCTTGGCAAGCGCAAGGGCCTGAGTTCAATCCCCGGTTCCGCAAAAAAAAAAAAAGCACTACTCTAACTGCCCAGATTAGTATTAGTGTGGGTCAGGCAAGTGGTCTTTAAGAGACCAGGAGTCTTCAAGGGCCTCCTGTCCTCCCTGGGGTATCTCTGTGTTCCTCACCTCTCCTGGCGAAGAATAGGGAAGTGAGGGGAGGCTGGCTCAGAGTCAAAGGCCCCCAGCAGATCCCCCACTGCCAACCCCTTGCAGAAAGGGAAGTCAATGTGAGGCAAATGCTTACTTACAAGATAGTGAATGCAAGGAACAGCTGCCAAACAACAGGAAGCAAATGTTGCAAAGGTTAAAGGACCAATGTTGTCACACTTATAGGGGTAAGCAGTTTCCAAAAATAACTGCTTTGGCTCATGGGTGTAACTTAAACCAGTGAGGGTCTTAGCCTTTGCTTCTGGTTTGAGGAAAGGTCAGGGGCACAAAGTGAATACAGGTTATAATTTCACAAGAGCTAGCTCCCTAAAGTACGTGGTGTGCAGTACACTCGTTGTGAATACACAGCCATCAGCCACCCAGGTGATGTCCTGTATCATCATCTCTACCTACATCCCCCTCTAACTGTCCCTAGATTAGCATCTATACTTTTAGCTAAGTTTGCGCTTCCATAATCTAGTGGATTCTCTGTCTGCTTCAGTATGGAAATAATTGTGGAAATACAACAGTATTAAACAAATACCACAAGAGAAATTATTCATGGCAAAAGCAGTTAAGGCAAATCTAGTGTGTATTCCTCATTTACCAACCAACTTATGGTCCTGTAACTAGGTCATTAATGGAATTGGTGGCTAAATGAAGAATTTCATAGAATATGTACATTTCAATATTCAGAACAAAGAAATGGGTGAAGGAAATTTGATGACTTTGCTTTCATTCACATAACTTTGTCATCTAGTTCTATAATGTAAAATGGGACATAAAGCTACACTGCTGTACTAGACAGTAGAATCAGCAAAAAGTACCATACTGTACAGACAAGACATTAGGCTCTATAAACAAGGTGTACAGAACTGCATTTTTAAAAGGCAGTTTTAGGCTGGCCAAATAGCTCAAAGGATTAAAGCGCCTGCAAGCAGGTGCAGGGGATGGGGGTTCGATCCCTGGGCCTGCTGTGCCAGCCCTGCCTCTGGGGTGTACTGTGACTTGAGATTGGGCATGGTGTTGTGCACCTGTAATCCCAGCTCTTAGGAAGCTGTAAACAGGCAGATCACTATGAGTCCGATCTAGTAGTGAGACTCTGAACACCCTGTAGACCCTTCACTAAAATACAGGAAAAAAAAAAAAAAGGCAGTTTTAAGTCCAACCGACGGGTCATCGGTCTGAGCAGCATGCCTCAGTTGTAGGTGTGAATACTCATTAAACAGCCCATTAAATGAGAACCATCTGTACTGAATGTTAAAGTGGATAGTTGTTTGAAGAGAAATGGGTTATTTATGTAGTCTCAGAGACGCTCCCTGATCATGGTATCTCCCCTGCCAGGTAAGTATTGAGAGACGCTCCCAATGCTTAAGAATGCCACATAAGACACCAAGGTGTGGTGGTGCATGTGTGTAATCCCAGCATTTAGGAGGCTGAACCAGGATTGCAGTGAGTTCAAGTCCAGCCTGAACTACATAGTGAGACGCAGTCTTACACCCCAACAAGACAATATGGCAATAAAGGAGCTCCTTGAAACTGGCTCATTAACTCTACAGACAGGAAGGACCCCTCTCCATGCCTTGAGCTGTGCTGAGTCCAGAGGCCATGTGTTGATGAAGCACTCTGCCTTGTGGGTAAGGGCAGCAGCAGACACCAGGAAGAGCAGGGCAGGCCAGCAAGTGTTCTAGGCAGATCTTCTGTGGCAGGCCATGTTGGGGTTCCTTCCTGGAATCTTCTTACTCTTGCTTCCTCTTCCCACCCAGGCCTCCTGCTGTCCCTGATGCATGCAGTTCACTTGAGCCCAGTGTCTTCAGTGTTGCCAACTGCTGCCCTTAGTACCTCCAAACCTGCTTCTTTAGAGACCCCGCATTCTGGACAGTGTGTATTGCCGTGCTGGTTGCCTGGGACCACAGCCCTCTACCTCACAGCTTTTGGAAATGCTTTTCTGTCTAGCTTGATCCTTCTCTTGGTTCTTTCTCATTCTGTAGACTTCTATTAAATGCTACCTCAGAAGAGTGGGATAGCCCTTGGTAAAAATATTCTCCTAGGGCTCGGGAGATGGCTCAGTGGAATAAGCGCTTCCCTGGCAAGCGCAAGGGCATGAGTTCAATCCCCGATTCCGCAAAAAAAAAAAAAAAAATCTCCACCTACTCCAACCTCCACCTTTCACTATGACAATACTGTTTATCTCATCTGTAACACAAAACACAGTATTATATTGTAGGGACAGTAGGAGGGGGATGGAGGCATGGATGTAAGTCCTGTCCTACGTGACTGATGGTTATGACCACATGCTTACTTTGCACTATGGACTTGAAGAAGTGACTTTTGTGAAATCTTTGCATGCATTTACTATGTGTCCCGAGACTTCCTGACCCTTTGCTCAGTCCCAAAACAAAGATCAAGACCCTGATTGGCCTAGATTGCACTAATCAGTGAAACAGTTACTTTTAGAAAGCAGTTTGGGCTGGGGAGACAGCTCAGTAGAATAAGCGCCTGCCTGGCAAGCACAGGGTCCTGAGTTCAATCCCTGGTACCGCAAAAAAAAAAAAAAAAAAAAAAAAAAGGAAAAAAGAAAGAAAGCAGTTTATCCCTATACTATGAGTACAGTAGTCTCCTGACCTTGGGGGACCTACTCGGGTTCCCCTGCCCCGTAGCATGCCCTCGCCATGTGGTAGCTCCCTTTCTGCATTTACCAAACCACAAACATTTGCTTTGCATTATTTCAATTCTGACGTTCTCATTTTTGCCAGCCCTGGAGTGCCCCATTTTCTGCGGGAGGTGTCGACCCAGAACCAGTCTTGTCCTATGCACTCCTTCTTTGCCAAGGTGAAGGCAAGGACTAAGAGGAATGGGTGGGCTGCCATGAAGGGGAACCTCTAGCCCTTCAGAGACCTCCTGCCTCTATGCTACAATATCATCTTGTTTATAGTTTGTCTCACTAACCACAGTATGAGCTCCAAAAGGCAGTAAATTTGTTTTCTGTACTGGCCTGCCAGATGCTGAATGAATGAATTGCATGTTTGTAAGTAAAGTGTAGAGTGGTTTGCATTTCTCAGGTAAAGTTTCACCTTTTATGTTTCCCAGGTTGCATAGTCCATTTTGAAAATACCAGAGTTCCTATCCAAAATGTCCTGGGAGAAGCCAGAGGTGGACAAACTGAGTTGCCAGCTGAGTTCTGTGTACCCTGTGGTTTCATGGGTGTGACTTGTGTTCCCTCACCTGCTGGGTAAGCCTTGTGGCTAGAGGCCAGCAGGTACCTGGCCAGCGATAGTCCAGGCCTCTCCATTAGGAAACAGGCAACATGGAGACTGGAGTGTGGCCACTCTGCACTGAGGACCTGGCTTGGGCTGGGTCTTCCTTCACTGCTGAGGCCTAGAGTGAGGGAGCAGGAGTCAGCTCCCCACCATGAGGAAGACACCAGAGAGGTTCCTATTCTGATACAGCACAAGCATGCGTCTTGAGCCCCTGGCCTAAACTGCTTTTTGTTTGTTGAGTTTTCTTAGGGGAAGAGAGATAATTCATAAAACAAAGTTTGCCATTTGAAAATACACACCAGTGATTGTTAATATAGTCATTGCATTGTACACCCGGACCTTGATAAATCCAGAACATGTTTTTTCAACCTAGAAGAAATGTCAACCCTTCTAGCTGCTTTTTACCCCTGCCCCTTAGCAGCTGCTGCTTTATTATTATTTTTTGGTGGAACTGGGGATTGAACTCAGATCCTTGTGCTTGCCAGACAAGCGTTTATTCTATTGAGCCATCTCCTCGGCCTTATTATTATTGTTATTGTTGTTTTAATGTATTTAGTACTGGGTTTATAGAGTCTCATTACACAGATTGGACTCATAATGGTTTTTTTTGTTTGTTTGTTTGTTTTTGTTTTTGATAGAACCGGGGAAAGAGTTCCCTCAGAGTTCCCTACTGAGCCATCTCCCCGGCCCCTGGACTCAGAGTTCCTCCTGTATTTCAGCCTCCCAAGCACTGGGATTACAGGTGCGCACCACTGTAATTGTCAATTGCATCTCAGCATATCCTGGGGGTGAGGCCGGCATGTTATGCCAGGGATCAAACCCCAGACCCTGCCTCTGCTTAAGCAGGTGCTTTAATCTGCTGAGCTAACTTGCTGCTTCATTTTGGATCTCTATCGATTTGCTGACTAAATATTTCATATCAATGGAATCATATGATATCTTTTCAAGATACATCCACATTAAAGTATGAGTCAGCACTTCACTCCTTTAAAAAATTTTTTTTGAGGGGCCCGGGAGATGACTCAGTAGAATAAACGCTTCTCTGGCAAGTGCAAGGGCCTGAGTTCAACCTCCAGTTCCAAAGAACAAAAAATTATAAAAAAAATTTTTTTGGACAGTGGGATTGAACCCCATGGGGAGTGAACCTAGGGTTTCTCTACAACTGAATTGCATCTCAG